TTAATGTCCAATTGCAATTGGACTTGGACTGGACTAGTCCAATTAGTCCAATTCCAATATTCCAAATCGTACCAATTGGACCTTGTCCAAAGCCATCACTGCATTATGCAGGGCTCCACGTATATTCGGATATTTAGCAGTATTTTCACTATTTTTGAATGAATAGTATGCCTAATCAACTCGGACATTTCCCTTCTCTTTTTCTCTGAGTTTAATGTTGAACTTACCCAATTTTAGCAAGTAACAATGCGTGGTCGCAATTGGTTTGAGTCCCCAAGCAATATAGATAAGCAATAATAGTATAACGTGCATGAAAATTTTATTGGTAATTCTCAATTGACGGCATCAAGGTAAATTGATTCTAAATTTAACAACTAACTAAAGGTTCTGTAATAATTTAATTTGAAATCAGGTCTGTTAACCCCTTTGAGATCACTTTTCAAAAGTTAGTCTTAAGTGATTCTATATTATAACAGATTGTGAAACTTTTTGAATCAATATTCGAGCCACAGCCAAATTCCGAAACAATATATCGCTCCAGGACATGTGGTGATCGATATATTTGAAATGATTAAACTAGAATATTTCAAGTATTTTTCAAAGTAATCGTACCAATGAGCATAGAGAATTCCACAAGCAATATTTTGATAAACGTGATATAATTAAATAACGGAGGTTTTGCTGAGATAAAATCCTTTAGAATCTTCATCATGACAAGCGATTAATAGATCGTGATTTTGGATATTTTCCATAAAATTCGAACAGTAACTTCATATCAGTGCTGATTAACTAGTAAGCATGAACTCTAATCATCAAAAGTTTCATTAAACAATTTAAGTTACTATGATATTCTCAGGATTATTCGGATAATCAGAATTAATACTTAAGTTAAATCTGTACTTATCTTGCTAAACAATCATATAAAGAAAATTTATATGATGTCACGAACATAGTAAATCACGTAATTTGTACCGTGATTTTATTATTAAACCAAGGACAAGTTCTCTTTTGTCACGAATAATTTCGGTCAAGTTGACCAAAAATTCACGTGGGGTGAAAAACTGTTGCGATACTGGAGTAGTTATAAAACTGCCAATTCTCCTTACAAGAACTTATGATTACAATAGCGAGATCTTATTTTACGGTCTAGAAAATGGAGAAAACAATAAGTTTAATGTATCTAAAAGCGCAGCCATCTCGGTTCATATTTTTTTTTTTTTATACTTTCGGTTCTTTAGCATCGGGCTGCAACGATCGAATATTTTTTTTCGATTTTTTTTTTTTTTTTTTTAAGAAATTAATTCTTTTATTAATTGTATTAATTGTGTATCTCTTCAGCTTGGATCATTTTAGAAAAATGCGATATTTTTTTTTCTTTTTTTTACTTTCGGATTCAATTGCATCAAAGATTTATTTTATTTTTTATTTTATTTTCTTTCGAATTTGATCACTTCGGAAAGTTTTTGTCCCTTAACGTTAATATTGTATTTTTTATAAAAATACTTACTGCGGCACTAAAAATATCGATTTTAATATAATAGATTTCAATCCCAATCCCAAGTGAAAGTTATATGTGTTATTTTAACTAAAACCTTAATAATCAAAATCTTTTCTCAAACGCGTCCTGAGTTAAATATTTAATTCAATATCAATATCTCAAATTCCAGGTATGTCAACTTAAATTATTAAAGAACCATTAGTTTCTTATCATGACAAATATCATTTGATTATCGGATACTTACTTTTTCTTATTTTTTCTTTTTTCATTTTCAAATTTTTTCATTTCCATTTTCTTATTTTATTTATTTATTTTTTAGTTTTAATTTCATCTTTTAGTTTTTTCTTTTATTTTTTTATATTTTTCCATTTTTATTTCTTTTTTATAGTTTTTGTTTTCATGCAAATTTTATTTATATAATCTTTTTAATTTTTTTCATTATTGTACAATTTTATTTATGCAAACTTTTTATTTTATTTTTTTATATATTTTTTGTTTCTTTTATTATTTTTATTTTTTAATCTTTTTTTTTATAATTTTATTTTTACGTAATCTTTATTTATGTAATTTTTTTTATATTGCTTATTGTTTCATTATTTTTATTTTATTCTTTTTCATTTCATTTTTTTAAAAAATTAAAATAAAAAATTAAAATAAAAATTTTTATTTTTTAGTTTTTATATTATGATTATGATTTTTATTTTTTTAATATTAAATAGAATAGTCTAGTTTATCATTCTAATTAAAGTTGACTAAATTTTTTTTTTGATTTATTGATTTATAATAATTTAATTTTTTTATTTTAGATTAGATTAGTTCTTAAAAGAAGTTTTGATCAATAGCAAATATAGATGATTAAAATTGTTTTTTTTTAATACATTTTATTATTAATTCTTACTATTATTTGATTAATTTATTTTTTTAGACAAGATTTATTTATTTCTTAGCTAAAATTATTAGATGAACAGAATTTTCATTATTTCATCATAGGTTTTTAACAAATTCTTTATTTTATTGAAATTTTATCATTACTTTAAATATTAGTAATCATAATCATTATTTTTTATCATACAATCCTGTTTATTTTATCATATATATATATTTTTAAAGATCAATTAATGAATGCTGCAAAATCACGTTTAATTATTAAATAAAGACATAAAATTTTATAAGAAAAATATTTTTTTAAACAGGACAGGAATCATGTTTAAAACTCTCAAATTTCTTTCATTTTAAATAATAATGCCTAATTCTAACAACAACAACTGAACCTAAAAAAATCTCTCTAACAATTATAAATTGATAAACTCACAAATCTAACAGATTCTTTGACTCTAGTATATATTTAAAATTTTAGAGTTTATACCATTTGTTATTTTGTATTTGTCAAATTATTTCCTTAGTAGAATTTTCTGTATCATTAATTCCCTGATTCGCTATTCTCAAACTATTATTTGATCTACTATTGTTGAATAGTAATAATAAGGTGATAGATATTAATTAAAAGATTACAACCATAATAGCAGTTAATTGCACTTCTTCATGTCATATAAGAAAGTGAAATATTTATTACAAATGAAAACATTTATATTAGATTAAACTATATTAAATATTAGTTTAGCATCAATAGTATAAGATAAATAATATGGATATAAAATTAAAAAAATGATTACTAAGTTAGGAAAACAAAAAAAAGAAGCAAAAAATTATTAAATTTTCATCTATATCAAATGATGCAGAACTTCGAGAAAATGGAGAACTATGTTCATCAGCTGTTTATACTTATTTTTTAAAAAATTCAAATCTCTTAACAAGATTCATAATTGGTGTAACCTTTTTTGCCAAATTTTGTCATAACAAGCAAGCACCAATCAACTTTCATATTCATATGCATTTCTTTCTTTTCTACTTTTAAATTATCTCCTTCTTCATTTGAAATAATAAATATTAACTAGTTAAAATATCTTAACAGACTTTCTCATTCAGTCTTGAATACAAATAAAACTTTAACCTATTCTCTTTATTTCATTTAGCAAATAATAATAGCTATCAGAAATCACATCAAACATTTAACTTTTAAAAGATGTTTACATCAGAGTATGAGACATCTTCTTCCTTTCTAAGTTTACGTCAAAGTTCCTTAGCTTCTGCCCTGAACAGCTCGTTATCTACATTATCTAATCCAAATGCAGATGAGTTGGCGCTTCAGGAGTGCGTCAAAATTATCAAATCTAATGTGGAAGATGTTATTATTAATAAAGCAAATAAAAATGAAAAAAAATGGTGGATCGATTGAAATTACAAAATTATTGACGAAAAAAGGTAAGGTCATAACACAGCAGAATATTTTATTCTACTATCCTTGCTAAAATTAGTTTAATTTTATTAGACTCCCTCTGATCCTTGAAGATATTTACTATAAAGAATTTGAAAAAAAGTGTGAGCGCGCGAATGCATCAAAATTCTGGGAATATCGAGATGGAACTGTAATCATAATCGAATTGCCAATCGTGATCATGAGACAACACATAATGAATTCGCTAGACAATTTTTTGCTTTTTCCAATTTTCCACCTCAAGATCAAGTTAACTATGGATCCACAAGTATGTACACTTCTGTTTGTTAAATTTGAATGTATATTATTATACAAACTTAACTCTGTTGTTGTTATGTTCAGCTTGTTATGCTACTCCAGATCTTGGAGGCAGAGGATCTCATAAACAGTCGGATGCTTCATTTGTACCAAACCTTCTCCCTATTCCAGCTCAAAATCCATGTGAAACTGAGGTAATTTTCTTGAATTTATTATGTTATTGAAAAAATAGAGTAATTTGAATTTGTAATGGTTTATAGGGTAATCCTTGTCCAACAATTTTTTGTTGAGTTTGCTAATTCACAAAGTCTTGAAAGTATTATCCAAAAGACCACACCACTCAATTTTGGTTATCTCCAAATCGTGTTGAAGATGTAATTGTATTAAAATTATGGAAATGGAATAGAACATATAATAATCGAATCCCTAGCCGCCGTTTAACAAATCGGTATTATTTTTTTTAGTGTCATTTCACTTATTTCATTTGCCTAATACTTGCCCTTGGTTTTGGTAGTGCTATAAATTCTGTCGTAGAACTATCCCTCAAGATTCAGATGGGAATTACCAACCAGTTCAAATAGTACGAATTAATATCTTAATGGCAATTGAATTCTAATTATTTCTTTTATTCCATATCACGTTATATATTTATATTTTTCAGATTGAATTCGGAACTATTGATGCAAAAAATCGACTATATAATGGATGCTCTGCTCCAGGAATGCGTACTTTGAGTATATCACCACATTGTATTTACAGAGGCTGTCCTCGTCAAGATCCACCGCGTCCACCATATCCAATCTCGAATGATGTTATTATCGATTTATTCCATATACAGCAGCAAGTATTTCGTGTTATTCGGAGATTTATTAATTAGTAATAGAATTATTTACAATGATAAGAAACTTAGTGCATATCAGTTTTTAATTTCTGAAAGCTTTATCTAGAATCAAAAATGTTGACATGTAAAAATACACACATTAATTATATGTATCAGAATAAAGGACAAGTCTACAATCCTCTGAGAAGAGAATTGTAATTGGCGAACTAATGTTGTTTTCATTTGTTGTTTAAATGTAATCAGGTGTTGTAATTCTTATATGCAAAATAACAAATTCACTATCAATATAATTTGTCGTGCCCAATTGCGTTAATATTATTTGGGACAGAATTTCATCGCTTTTGATATTTCACATTTCGCATTCGCACTTCGAATGACCACATCAGATTCTCTAAATATATGACTTGAAATATCAGAATTACACTTCGGATAAATTTCCAAACGATCACTTCAGATGCTACCATACCATCGAGTAAACCACAGATTCATTGGAACTTAAAACGCATGAATAAAAGTTTAATTTATATCAAAAAGGAGAGATTGGATTGGGTAAAGGATTTTTTAGGCCTTTAGTTTAGATTTCTAAAATATTATCCTAATCTAAATCGAGATACTATTTCAGGTTTTCGGCATCAAGTGCAATCGGTAAGTATTTTTTTATTTTTATTTATATTCATTTAATTTTGTTTTAATGGCAGTATATTTCAGTGGGTTTGTTTAATTGTTCTTTTTTTTAATTTCGGGCTAGTTTCATAAAATTTTATTTGATTTTTTGACGATATTTTTCGGGTTGGATCGTTTCGGGACACATAATTTTTTTTTTACTTATTTCATTTCTTTTTTAGATTAGCTCGAATTTTTTTTAAATTTCCAGGTTCGATCGCTTCGATGCGCAGCGACCGAAGATTTTATTTTTTTTTTTTCAGATTTTGCGTCGTATAGGTTCTTCTTTCGGATTGATTCGCTTCCCAAAATTGGGACAGTGTGGATCACTGAATTACTTAAGCCTCCCTAATCAATATGATTTGTAACTTCACAACGACTGTATTTGACGTTCTTGTACATTACTGTTAATTTTATCATAGAAACCAAATGTTTATCAGTTATTCAAACCTTTGTCACTTGTCGAAAATATATAAGTTTAATAAAAATTAACTTATTTATGTTTCAACTGATGTATTAAATTTAATTTCTTCAACAATTCGAAGAAAGATTTCTTGGATAAAAAAAAAAATTCTATATTTTTAATAACCATTAAACTCTTTTGTCAAGAAAATGATGCTTTTAAAATTTATAACGTTAGAAAATCTTTATTCACGCTTCATATTTATGCACGCAAAATTCTTGAAGATAAATGACAGAATGTTCAAAATACAAGGGATATGCAATATTTACCATCACATCTCAATCACATCCAATCACATTGAGGGGTATGCGTGGCAACAGCCTATTTTGAACGTGGGTTTAAATTTGGATAAAAAAAATTATATATACCCAAAAAGAGTAATTTTAATTTCATTATTTCTTGCGTGTTGTTACGATTTTCTGATAAACTATTGTCAAGTAATGTGTTATGAATCCTTGTTTTTGTGTTGCATGCTAAGCTTTTTTTTAAAAAAATCAAGCCTATGGTCTATTATTCATAGGAAAGAAGTTCATTTAATATAGTTGCCTGGATAACTCATTTAACAAATAGAAACCTTATATTTCGATGGTTTTTTTAACGTTAATATGTCTTTAATATAGTGTTTGACTTTTGACGGAATGTTATTATGGTTTTAAGCTTCGAAGGTTTTGCCATATTTATTTATAGTTTTGCCAGTGACCCCATTGAAAACTGAGAGTTTTGCCAGACAATTATTTCCTTCAGTAAAGAAATTTGATTAACAAAACTTTATCTTTTTCTTTTTTTTCGCAGTTATAATTAATTAGCATTTATTGATCAAGTGTAGAAGAATACCGATGTTGAGGTAATACTTGATATATTAAATTATTAAATAATATTGATAACATTTTTGCTTAATTAAAAACTTTCTGCTATCTTTTTATAATTTTTTATAAATATGAATAAATAATATACATGCTTTCATTTACGTGAGTCTATTTACATTATTGTACCACGTTTCTTTAGAACATTTTCATATGTTAGGCATTAATATTAATAGATTATAATTCTGTGAACTTCTTCTTTTAAAAACATATTACGATAGATAGAGATATACCGAGGGAGGACAAAAGTATTGCATGTAAAGAATAAGATATCGAGTGAATTTTTCATTTTTAACTGAGTTTTTTTAATAATATTTAGGTCATCTATTGCATAAATGAAATATTTTTATTAATTATTATTAATTAATATGTTTTGCGCGCATTATATTTTCGTTAAAAAGCTAAAGCGACCATTATTACTGCAAAAAATTGGGTTCAGTAACTCAGAAATCATAAATTATATAGATGTTTTTGCATAACCGTTATTCGGTTTATATTTTTAGTAGAAATATACGAAACGCTAACAAGTTGATCCTTTTATAATTTATTAATAATTATTAAGAAGAATGTAAAATATACCAACTCAAACTTTAGTAATTAGAAAGCTTATAAGTAAAAAGTAAACAAATATGTAAAATCTAATTTTAAAAACTCTTTACTTTCATTTCTTCGCTCGTAATAAGTTTTCGCTTATTTAGATATCCAAAATAGTCCATGTTTGCATATTTTTGGACACTATTTATTTTTGAAAATGGTTCAGAAATCAAATGGTCGCCTAGCAAACTTATAATAAAATTTTATTGGCCGTTGGAACTCGAAACCATAATAAAATCTCGTCAAAGTCATAAAAATGTGTCAAATATACTAAATGAGTTTTTCCAGGCAACAATAAGTACGTTTATTTTGTAAAGATATTTATAATTAAGATAAATTTCAATTTATAAAGTATTTATTTATATTTTATTTCTTAATAAACCATTATATTTTTGAATTATTTTTTAATGATAAATTTAATTTAAATTTGTAAAAAGAATTTATAAAAATAATATACTAGAAATAAGAAAATGACAAACGGTATAAAATAATAGCGACAACAAGGGTGAGACAAGTGCAAAATAGAAAGGAAAAACGAATTGTTTTTAGCAGATTTTTCGTTGTAACAAAATTTATATGGAATATATCGAAGAAAATTTTATTTTCGATCAACTAATAACATATTCAACTCTTTTTTAAAAATACTTACACATAAATTAATAAACCTAATCTCAGAACATAAAAATAAAGTAACTCATAAAAACTCATCAAGATGAACGTTTTTATCTTCAAAAAGATCTTTAGAAAAAAAAATACATTCGTGATAAATAAATAAAAATTTTAAATCATTTCATCCAGGACATTGGTATGCGATAAAATGATAATCCTGGCTCGAATTTAAATTTGAGTCAGATCAACCGACTCGAAGCACTAAACAATTTATTATTTCAAGTTCCGACTTTTTATTATTCACATGTTTAAACTTTTACATGAATCTTTTACTATCATCATTTGTTATTGTAATTTAATATTTCTAGTGAAGTAAATAACATTATTTATTTTGCAAATGCTGATTCAAATTTTGATTAGTGAATGTTATCCTGCAACTGAGCTAATAATAATTATTGCAATAAATAAATGTAAATCCACAAGTCAACCGAATGCATTATGATTTAAAGATATAACAACATCTTTCCAGAACTTCATTATCTTCGCAGCATTAACCATCTCTGTCCATTATAAACCATTCATTTTAACATTCACATTATCATTCCAGTATTCTCGGATTCTTGTACTTTTGATGTAATATTTCCATCAGGAATATTTGGCAATTTTGTTTGATTATGCAGAACGTACATCGTACGTGTAAAGGAATGCAGGTCACCTGAAGCTTTAGGTTTGTAAGATCCCAGATCTTATTCAGAATGTCCAGTGAAGCAGTTTTTCAGGAGGATGTTTCTGATTGCTAATCCCAGTCAGCAAGTACAAATGAATTAGCTCGGCATTCGACGTAAAGCAGTTGATACTCCTAGGTCCAGACATCTTGTAAAAGGTGAGTTTACATTTAGCAACACCAGCAATAGGCATGAACATGTCTTAAAATTAACCGAGCAAATTCTTTCTTTTTAACCTTTGGAAGTGTTTCTACAAACATGGGGATACAAACGTCATCAATGACATCCTCCTCAATTAAGTCACTAAGAACTGGCTTAAGTCCATTTAGATATGTGTGTATCCCTTTCTCCATTTTGGGAATTCGTTGATCAGTCTATAAGCCAGGCCTGAACTTCATCTTCAGTGGTTTGTTTATACAGGATGCAGGTAGATATTTATCGTTGCAGATTTTAAGGATTCACCTAGGAATGAGTTGGTCTTATTTGGAAAGTATTCCTAAACAACCATATAAAATTCGATGCACTGGTAACTTCTTGCACGAGTTATAGAGCTTTAATGTGTAAAATGTTTGATTAATAAAAGTGGAAGAGAAAAGCTTTGCATATGTAATACCTGAATCATTGATTATGGCTAAGAATCTATAACCTGTCCTGTTAATAATCGGTTAAAATATTCGTTAACCGGTTAATTAACCGGTTAAAATTAACTTAGGCCAGTACAATAAAATTGGCCGGAGTTAGACAAATATTTTTGCAATCATAAATATCTTATGGCCGGAAATCGGCCGGAGTTAAATTCATCTATTTAACCGACCGGCAAAAAATCTTCAACCGATTAACATGTTAATTAACCGGTTAAAAATTAACTAGTTCCAACCTCTAACTTATAATTCTGAAATAACTTTCGTAATTTCCAGTTTTAAAACTTTCAGTATTCTGATAGAGGTGATACGCTTGAACTGTCAGGACTACCTGAAGTGTTCTAAAATGATTCTTGTAAATATAGCGTATAGAAAATAAATACTTTTCATAAAATTTGACTAGAAACCGAAATTGTATATGAAAAATGTTCGTTAATTTACTTGATTGATTTTATTACGGCTTAACTCTCACTTACCGGTGAAGGGCGTTACAATTATGAATAATTGGTATCTTCATACAATAACTTTACTTCATATTCTTTTAAGGTATTCATTAATTCGGTCGCTTAGAACAATAGATATATGTTTCAAAGCGTGAGATTATCAAATCAATATTTGCAAAGTCATTCATTTTCTGGTTTTTTATAGCTTTCTTTAGATAATTATCCTTTCCAATAATTGCGTTGAAGGGATTTCCTACTCGAATCAGACAAAATAGTTCTATTCGTGCATCTTTTATTACAACATATAGTGAAAATGTAAAATGTTTTGGAGAAATTTTTGGAATAAAAAAGGTGTTTTTGAAAAACTTTTGAAAGAGTTTTTTTTAAAACAAATTGAAATTTCATATACTATACTATATACTATTTACTGCTACGTCATATTAAAATAAATCATTACATGCCATGCGAAATTACCGAATATTGAGATATACCAAAAATAGAAAAATGACAGGAAATGTGGCTTATTATGGCCTGGGCGATTCATAATAGCGGATTTACCCAAAGAAATTAAAGAAATTCCTTTTATTTAGTTATCTCATAACATTGTACCAGTTTGAACATTTTATATTTTATAGAAAGGACCATGTGTTGTATGTTAAGTTAGTTATTATGTCCATCAATATTTAGGATTGAATTCTCTCGCTGTACCATCAATACGACTTGTTGCATGAATGACTCCTATGCAATTATACACGAGTCATACTCACAATAGATTCATCAATTTAATTCTATTACGAATAAAGTAAACCATCCACTTTCATTCTTAATAAACTGATTCTTTTTTAAAAAAAAATTATTCTGGTGCCCGCTATTAAAAGATATAAAAATTTGGTGTTTATAGATTTCGTTTTCTTGCTATAAAAAATATATACCATTTTTAGTTGTTATATTTGGTATATATAGTGCCGATAGAAATATATGAACAAAATATCGAAATGAGACAATACATCATTTCTTGAAAAGTCTCTTTGCTTACTTCTCAATAATTTTTGATATATATAAAAGATTATGACGAGTTGAGAAGCAGATGTTTAGATCGGATCTGACGAAGCGCCAATCATATTTTAAAAAGTCGAAATAAGGTAGTGCCATATGCTGGCAAGACATTTTGCATGAAAAAGTAGTAGTTTGCAATAGGGAGGCATAGAATGATGGATTCTTCCACGCGAACATCATTACAAATCTAGAATCAAATAGAGAAAACAGGTGTACAACCCTGGTAACAAAGTTTAAGAATTCTTTTCTTCACTGAATTTCGTCTTACGTCAAATATGTGTAATTAATGAATGAAAATTGACAATACATGAAACATCATAATCATAAATTATTTTTACAAATGAGTACCTATTCCTGACGCAGCATCGCCTTGGAAGTGATTCGATCGAAACATTCTTAAAGCTTTATTAGTCTTCCAACATTTGGAATTTTGTTTCTTTTTTGATAATTTCCTTGAAAGATGAAATGACTTGAATTCTTTCATCATCATTTCCTGAAGGATATTGACGTTCTTCAATTGATCTTCGGGCAGGACAATAAGAGATAAGGAAAAAAAAAGCAATGTAGTAATAGTAATTTTAATACAACATTGAAATAATTTAATAGAAGTATAAATATATATATTTTTTTGACTGGAATGAATTGCCAATTACCTTTTTTGAGGGAAAATATCTGGAGATGCTTAACAGTGGTGCTCTTGACCTGCTAATATATAACCTATAAACAGACGGAGAGTTATCAACTAACCTCCAGGTTTTTGCTTAGTATCATATTCGGCAGCCAAATGTATTTATTACTAAGAACACCCGGAGTGGGAAATCTTTTATTTCTGAAATGCTAGCCGAACATCTTGATACTTGTCTTCGATTTAAGCAACTTTCAAAATATTTAGCCTGCTGGGACTATTAAATTATGCCAGATGAATAATATTTGCGACATCGAAGTTTTTTAATGTCAAAGTCTTTGAAGTTAAATAGAAAACGTTTTAGCATATCGAGAGAAATGTTTGGAAGTCTTGAAGGTGGACGTTACATTTTACGACAAAAATCAAATCGAGTCTATCTCATCGTTATTGCTATTGTCCCACCCAAATACATAGAAAATATAATTTACCAATGATATTTCAATATTAATTATCATGATTGTAATAATGTGTTTTTTTACGCTAATAAAAAGTCATTCTTATCCTACGAAATAATTCACGGTTATTAAATAAAGAAAATAAAATAATCAGGAATTAATTAGCTGTCTATATTTTACCCATGTTTTAAATTGCATTTCAAATACAAATTTGTATATTGATAATTTAAAATATTCAATTTTCACAGATGATGACAACTTGGAAAATAATTAAAGTTTTTATTGAAATTTAACAATAATCTCGATACGAAATCAGAAAATTATCTAAAAAGTAATAAATAGACACCTGAATTTGAAAGAATTTTTCCACTAAAAGCATCATATTTATTAAAGATACTAAAAATTTTTTTCTCTTCGTCTATGTCTTGACCGTGCAATTACCAGAATTATTATTTTCATATCGTCATATCGACAAATAAATTTCTGACAAATTTGTACTAACCAAATTTGGAAGATTTATAATTTTTTTTTACAACTCTGAAAATTTAAAACATACAGTTGTATTCAGTTCTTTCGTTTATGTATTTATATTGTGACAAAATATTTATTTAATAATATCAATTAATCAGTGTTGCCTCGCAATGTCAATATATTGAACTAAATAAAAGCTAATCACTAATAAACTAATTAAAACTGCGTATAAATAAGGCGGGATTTTAAAAATAAATTAAGTTACAAATTAAAATTATTTAATGTTAAAGCGGCGGCGAAAGCGAAATGTATATATGCAATGTAAGAAGGACGACCGTCACAATGATCTACAAAGGACAATCTTCATGCGAAATTATGATGTTTTCGGGCGGAATTATTTTAGATAGAACAATATTAACGAATAATATAATATTCGTTTGTCAAATTTTTTTTTTTAACCGTTTCTTTCTAAATTCTTACAATTCCAAGTCTACTTCAAATGTTTGAAATGGTAGAAATACCCGCTAACAATTATATTTTTGACCGCTCTATCAAAAAGCTGCGCCAATTGACCGCTTCGGCCGGAATTACGGTATTATGTGACAAGAGGAGATAGATCATTGAAACAAAAATTTAATGGTGCAAACCACAAAAGAGTTTTACTTAGTCGCATTTATAAATTAATGTTTATATGAATTATCCTTTATTTATGGCGTCACAAAAAAAAAGAACATTGAAGACTCCGTAATTATTTCTTAATTTCTAAGGATTATCTAATGCAACCTTACAAATACATTTTAAGAAGTACTGTATTTGTTTTAAATGCGAATCATAATGATGTTCACAATGGTGATGAAAATGATACCATGACAAATATCAAGATTAATTGAACTTAAGAAATGTTAAAAATTTGGATAAAGCGGAAAAAATAAATATGAGAGATTGATTAGATAGGCCCAAATATAATTTTATTTGCAAAAATCTACATCGAATAATACCACATGTACAACGCTGATCGTCGAAATTGAAATTAAAATGAAAAATAATAAAATTAAAGACCTACCAGAAGTAATCAAACTCGAAAGAACTCGCCTAAAAAAAAATAATAATAAATAAAAAATACAAATAGGCCTTGAAATTGATTTCCGTCTGAAGTTAGAATTCGGATTCTTAAATTATCACCAATTTCAGATACAGCCTTACCACAACAGATTTGGGTTCGATATATTCGTCGCAGAAATCGAATATTTTCATTTCTTGGAAGTTTAAGTTTCTATATCGAGATGAATCATTTCTTTTATGTTCCTTTCCGGATGGGTCTGTCTGTCGTAAAACAGTATTATTATTATTATTATTATAATCATTATCTATTTTTAACTGGATTTTTATTTTTTATTTTGGATTATTTTTTAGGTGATATCTTTTGGCATCAAATGAAACAAAAGTAATTAAATTTAAAAATTTTGAATTTTTTATTTCAAATTCCTTCTATCAATTTCATAAGTTTTACGGTGATTAAAAAAAAAAATCTGAATTATATGGACTACATATTGGATTAAATTAATTAGTCATCTGCGATCCTATCGAAAGCATTATCTTTACGTACCCATACATTTCTGAACGTTCTTTTTAATTCGGCGTTTGATAAAAGGGATTATTATG